GCCTTTGAGGCATCAGTTCGGCCGTCTGAAGATCGGATTCTGGGCAAGTTCTCCATCCTCTTTCGTGCGAGTCATTATTGATCAGATCGTGCTCACTGAAAAGCTATTATGTAGAGGAGTTGTGCACTGAAATCATATCACTTCAGCTTCACCCAAAATTGATACTCAATATGTGTGGGGTGGTGCGGGGCTCCGATGCTACACAAGGAAATTAGAGAGGAGCAGAAAGCACTCTTTCTATTGGAAAATCTAAAGCTCTAAGGTAGTAGATCACTTTTTCCTCATCAAAATGAATGACTACTTTCCAATTTCAATTCACGTCATAAATTTGACGATCCTTTGGCGAAACTGTAAGGGAAAGTGACAGGTGTAAGGGTGTTGGATGCAAGAACGTGAGCGAGTTTTACTTTGAATTTCTTCAAAACCTTTCGCGTGGCCCTACCTCTCAAGTACTTCCCTTACGAGCTATTTCAACCCACCCTTCCTACCAACAACTTTCGAGGAGATGAGTTTCCCAAGTGCTGCTTCCATTCGGTATCTTTTCCTCTGGTTTAAAGTAGTAGTATTGCTCCTGACCATGACCTGGACACCTGAAACACTAAGATAGCTACATTCACATTACTTTTTGCCCCTTTTTTCTCACTAAATATATTTACTTCGTCATTGTTTACGACGTCACCGGGTTTAGAATTCAAGGAAAATATCTAGAGCCCGTTTTCGGAGCTCTCCATCAATTCCAATTTGTACAAGCATGAATATGTATAGTATTAAATTGAACGAGAAAGTTAGGGTCTATTGTAAGTTTCGATAAGAGCGATGAATTGTAGAGACGATTGCTGGCTTTCTACTTCATATAAACCGGAAAGATTGTCGAAGTGTCGATTTCTGCTGTCTGGGGATTTTAACTTCAAGAGGTACTGGACCTATCTGAGTGCAGTTATAACTTTGAAGGGAATAACAAATATGATTTTGTAGAGTGCAAAAAGTTTCAAGTGGTAGACGCTGTTTTTCAGATAATTTTGCTACGATTGAATTCATACGCCGAAACAAACGTTAGCATATTATGTTACACCACAATACATGTATACATAGTATATATAGTACATGGTCTAGTGTAATATAATTGGTTTAAGACTGGCAGGGGTACATCAAGGCTCTGCGTTATCCCCACTCTATTTGTTGTCGTCATGGATGCCATTACGAGAGATCTCCAGAAGCCGGCTCCATGGACACTTCTTTATGCTGATGACGTGATGCTCGCTAGCGAAGATAAAAGCACGCTCGAGCAACAGGTACAAGCCTGGTCCGACCGTCTGGCTATGTTTGGGCTCAAGCTGAACGTAAAAAAGACTGAGTACTTGACCACCGATTCGAGTGAAGTTAGGCTCTATTAAGATCAAATGGTACTGAACTCACTCGTGCAACATCATTCAAGTATCTTGATCAGCAATCGCGTCTGACGGCAGCCTGGGGGGGGGCTCATTATACGAAATGGCGCTCGATGACTGGCGTTCTCTGCGATAAAAACATGCCAGAACGTCTCAAATCTAAGATCTATAGGACCGTCATCCGGCCGGTCGCGATTTACGGTGCTGAGTGCTGGCCTACGACTAAAGAGATCGAAGCCGTCTCAGTGTGATGGAGACAAAGATGCTGCGCTGGACAGCCGGAGTCACACGAGTAGACCACATTCGAAACGATGTCATCAGAGAGCGATTCGGTGTGGCTCCAATTGTCGACAAGATGCGCGAAGCCCGTCTTCGATGGTATGGTCATGTCTTTGTAAATGGTCAGGTTGTGTACGCAAAAAAACATAAAATAGAATAAAAATTAAAGACGTGTTACGAGGGTTTCCTTTGCGACCTAATACAGCAGAAATACAGCGGAGATTACGAATTCTTCGGAAATTCTTATTTTTCGAAAAGTTAATGATACTTCTCAACTTCAGGCTTCGGGCAGTGTGTAGGGGATGTCTAGGGTTCAGATAACCTTTTCAGAGGGCCCAATAGCGCTTCCTATCTGTTGGCTCACCCCAGTGGAAACTGAGATTCTCTTCAGATGGCACTTATGGCAAATTTGAATCCAATGAGAACATTATGGTTAAGCATTTCTAGTAACATCCATAAAGAAGTTATGAGGTAGGCTAGTCGTCTTTCTGGTCCCTGATCGAAGCATAAAATCCATTCGAAGAGCTACGCTTATCGTACGCGTAGAACCAATGAATGGAAGTGCGATAAGCTGAAAACCATTGGCTGCGATGTTTGTGCTTCCGTTAGCGCTGCTGCTGCTGCCTTTCGCGGTTGCTGACTGCCCTATTGGGACCACGTACCATCCGGACTTCAACAGGTGAAGAGAATTCATTGTTTCATGTAGGAGTTGTTAGACGTACAAATTATATTCCTACATTCCTCAAAACAATTCAGAGATCGATGCCTACAAGGTTTTTAGGCGCTATTTCTTTTTGATAGGTGGAAAACAGTAAAAAAAAAGCACTGAAGAGTTCTTTTCGCATGTCCTAGGAAGTTTACGTCTAGGCTGATTGTTCATTTTATTTATTTGTTTGTTTATGTAGGGACAATCGACGCGTTCTTACATCCACCGAGGAGTAAAGGTGAACACTAAATAAATGCCACCAAATATAATGGCGCAATAGCAAAAACTACGAGGATCACGAAAGTCAGACAATCTTATCACCGCACTTCATGACGTACTAAAAGTGAAGAAGAATGAGTTAGCACCTCCGTAAGGGATACGCGTTCGCCTCAGTAAGGCTTCGCGAAACCTACCAAACACAATTTAAAATTTATGAATTAAAGATCAAAATTTTTCGTTTGAGCGTAAATTTGGGCATATTGAGGCGGTACGCTTGGCCTGCTCGAAGGTGCTACCACTAAAATATTGCAATAATATGAAAAGTTCAGGATTAGGTCTTTTTTAAAGTTTTTGAAATAATTTCGAGCCTCAAACTGTTGTGATTAACATTTATTTTTTAGCGAAGAGGTTTCGGCCAGAAAAAAAAATCAACTACTAGTTAAATTATTGTGAACAATCTGAATTTATGAGCTGTTTATCAAATGTTTGCAAAGTTTGCAAACCGTTTTCGCTGCTCATTTTCACTGTATTCTTCATCTAGCAGCAGGAGATAAATGCCGAGATGCTTGAGTCGCTCTTTGCACGATCTAGGCTGGAGAGGATGCAGCTTCAATTTCCTCTAAATTACATTGCATGTTGTTTCAGATGTTACTTATTTGTGGCGGAACCGCAGCCATTCGGACTGGCTGAGGATGCATGCGTTTCAAACAGAGGCCACATCGTGTCAGTTATGAACGGCTTTGAAAACGCAATGTTGGCTGGTAAGCGTTTCGGATTTGAAGTGATGGAGGCTTGAAATCGACGATTAGGTTGAGAAAACCTAATTAGGTTCAAGAATGCAATGCATTAAGAAGTTCTACCATGTACATCTCATAAGAGTGCGTTTTAAGAATCGGCCGTGGCACAGAACTTGAAGTCACCGTTCTTCGTGGGAATGAACAAGTTGCAGGGCAACTGGAGTAACTCGGACGGATCGGCTTACACCTACACTAATTGGAGTCCAGGTTAATTTTTCATTGCAATAACTCCGAAAAGTCATTCTTGATGGAAAGGACTCCACGAATTTGAGGTGGCGAGGTCGAAGAGGAGGGATTACACCAAATTGGCAATGACAGGTAGCATTTAGGCGTGTGGAACAATGTGCGTTCCGTAGCGGAGAGTATCTCCCAGCGGCCGTCAGGGCCATACTCGCGCCGTTGCCCTTTCACCCTCTTACCAGCCGACTCTAGCCGGTTAGCTGAAAGAGCGATAGCGTTAAAGATGGCAGTATCGATGAGAGTCGCCATCGATACTGCCATCTTTAACGCTTACAGTCAACGGCTCACAAGGTAGCGTCGCCCATGGTTTGTGTTCGCTCAATTCATTTTCCTATGCTTTCTTGGTATTACTTCACCTTGCCCACATTGATCTCCTTACCTTGGATTCTACACAAACCGCCTTCTTATTCAATTCACTTTTGCGGTTCTCTTCTCTCGCGGCCTGGCACTGAATTCTCTTGTTCTGGAGGTAGTGTAGTGCCGAAGACGCTAGTCATGGGCATGTACCGCGGAAAGTTTGAAGGAATCCTTCACGGAAAAATCATGATTCTATTTCAGCCATAAATCACTGGCTTGAGACTCATCATCCACGATAAGAATGAAAAGAACAGAAAAATTGCATTTGTTTTGGAAAAATTCGAAAAACCAGAAGGGCTGCTATTTGTTCAAAGTGCCGCCGGACATCTGTCACAAATGCTGGCGACGGGAATGCTTCCACATGGTTCTTGGAGTGCCTTCACTAGAAACTCTTTCTGGCCTTCTGCTTTATTGCATTCACATCTCACACTTCTACTCCATCCTATTATCGATCGATTTGTCTCTACTCTCCAAAATCGCGCGCTTTACCTCAATTGCTGTCATTGCGTCACCTAATACGTAGCCGGCTCAAATCGGACTTCTTTCCATGCCCCGCCTTTGGCTCCGCGCCACTTACCTTTGATTGTCCATTAGTGAAACTTTGTACGCTGTTACCAGTGATCATAACTGATACATTCATGTTGAGAAACAATACAAGAAATTTCCGCGGATTCCTTTAAGCTCGGATCAAGTGAACTGAACCTTACTTAGATTTCTACGAGGACTTATTGTATTTGATATCACACCTGCTAGGAGAATAAAAGCACTGGCCGACTGCCTAAGTCAAGGCGTAGCATTGTAAGTCACTTTAATGCCCCCTACATATCGTAACAGATGGACGTAGAACGTGCCTTTTCCCTGGTTGAGCGTCGCGGGTAGCATGAGGATTGTCATGCCTGATGCTTGATACTGCTAATGCTAAACAAAGTTGCAGGGTAACCAACTACAGTCTGACACATGTTGCTGATCTCGAAGGCCCTCCGGGATGGTGGTTGGACGTCGATTTCCTGCTCCAATCCTTCTCCATTCATCTGTGCCATACCAGAAGATGCTCATCCGGCTTTCACCTGCCCAACGTGTGCTACACCTACGTGTCCAGCGCCTGCACGTAAGCAGTTCATTCAGCATTATTTTTACTAATGATTGAATGGAAATAGAATCGTTTCTATAAAAGCTTCCGGATGATTGAAAGAAATACCATTTCTATGCGCGAGCGTTTTTTTTTTTATTACGAAATTCAAAGAGACAAGCGTTACAAATTGTGTTGAAAATGTTACAGGTCAACCCGGCCATTGCGATTCGGAATGGACATACTTCCAGGGTACGGATTCCTGTTATCGAGTGAGTTGTAGCTTGTGTTTCTATCGATAACAGCTTGTTATTCAAATGCCTCTGATATTTTTTTGCCGGAACGACTTGCTAAAATTTTGCATAGAAGCTTCTTGCGATATCTGCTGGATGTTGGCACTCTTTACTGTCACGGCTTTATAAGATTACTCGTCATGGGCAAGAGCTTTATCGAAGAATAGCTGATGCTATGACTCAATGCACTTTTTGTCAGAGATAATTTCTTCTGGGCTACATTCGACAACGCCGAGGAAATCTGTGTGTCGGAAGGTGGTCACCTGACGTCCATCCACAGCACGGAGGAGAACAGTTTTGTGATTGGTACGATATTTTGCCCTCGATCGATATTCGATTTCATCACAGCTAATGAGAGGGCTATTCAAAATTGTCCCAAAGGGAAGATACGAACGTCTTCTGGATTGCCCAGTGCATTATAAGAGACCCAGCCAAACTACCAGCACCCGTGCGATTCAAAATTTATGCCTGCATGTTTTTTTACTCAGGGCTAATCTGGCCTATACTGATACTTATACTCCGTAAAGGGTGGTGAGAAGAGAATATAACAGGATTAACATGCTCTATTTACCAGTCTGAGCGGCTAAAGCCGATTTGAAGTCATACTACTACAAGTTCTGTCAACACTTGGCTGTTAGGTTGCGCAAAACTTTGGCGTGATGGGCGAACGTCTAGGGCTTTCTAATTTACTACCACATCCCTGGAAGAAAGCCAACTGACAGCCTTGTTTCACAATAGCGCCACCTTTGAACACGTGAAGCGACGTAAAGAAGTACTGATGTGCAATCAAAATTAAAGGCACGCTCCGAGATTAGGCGCGCTCGCCTATTCCATCCCGGGGTAGTAGACAGGCGGACAAGCGTTGATGTCGCGCCCCTTTTGCCGCTTGAAAGTGCGCGACAAAGGCGCAAGGAGCTCGTCCGACCCGCAACTCACACCTTCCGTCCGCAAGCCCCACCTCCGCTGTCGGTTGCCAGTGGCGCTGCTTGAAAAGCGCAGGCGCGTTTGAGGTAGCGATTTCATTGCGACCCAATGTTATTGGCACTGAAAGCAACAGAGTAAGGTTCGTGAAACTCGTCCAAACACGCCCCTTCTCTATCCCAAGGTGGAATCGGCTGAAATAGTAGGAGGTCTCTGTGCGGGGCGCAATCGGTGGTTTCGTTTGCTTTCCTTCACTTTTCCAGACCACTCCCACCTATAGCTTCATAACTGAACGCTTTTCCACACCTATTCGTCTTTAAGAGATAGCGGAATCCGGCAATGACTACGGAGATTCAAATGAACTCACATGGATGGGCTTGCGACAGGCGGATTATCCAACGAAGACGGATTGGACTTGGACGGACGGCACACCATTTGATTACAAAGAACTGGAGACCTTCTCTTTTCTCTGAAGCGGCCTTCGTCTTGCAGATCGCGTTTTACTATCCACTGGAATCTTATGGTACGGCATCTTAAATCTGTACATCTGCGACGGTCCATTTTTGGATTAAGACGTTATTGATTTATCTGCTTGGAGAGAACTATAGAATTACAAGAACCAAGAACCTGATTTGTCCTTGCTTCGCATTTTCGTGCGGCAGATCGCAGCTAGATCTGAGACTTAATTTCGCTTTACAATCCTTGCTGGTCATAGTCAATTTTTGAACTCAATTCTAAGCATAGATACATAAACGCCATTCGTCTGTGACGAAAATTTCATCCCATCCTCTCTTATTTCGTGATTGTCCACTTAGCTGGCCAGATCAGGTGACGGTCGATGCTGTGGGAATACGAGGAACTATGTGGGTCAAACCACCTTACCAAGCCGAACGGCATCGAGTTTTAGTATTTTTAGCGCGTTATTCTCCCAACTTTCGCATATCAGCGCGTCCATGTCTTTGCGCACCTCTTCATTCGTGAATTGAGTGGGGTTCGCGAGCAGAGAGCAACAAATTTCGATTGCGTAATGATGCCTTGAGGCCCAGTTCATTCAGTCACAGATATTATGACGGGGAGACTCATAGTCTATCGTGAACATCGAGATACCACGTGCATCTGCTTCTGCAAATAGCGCCATATGGCCAGGAATCCGTTTTCCATTCACATCTTGGCTACAAACATGAACAAATGGACAACACTTCACACTGTGTATCGCATTGCTGATAAGAATTTCTCTCAATATGACTGTATATTTCATGTCTATATCATGATGTCTCGAAATTGTCATTGTTTTCGTGACATTGAGCTCTATCGGTATTATCTGCGCATCGTCTATATCTGCCTCGCCCTTGTCGTTTCATCAGCTGTGAAATCTTTCTGTCGCAGGAGCAGCGGGGTTTCCAGGACATGTGTATGCAGTGAAAGATTTTTATGAAATTCGATCGTTTTATTTTCAGGTACAATTTGCTGGGCGGTCCACTTGACATGGACATTCCCCTTGACGCGAACGTGCTGGTTCTGCGCATCCAGACCGATGACATTGAACAAGCAGCCAAGGGATCCTTAGAATCATGTCGTATCCGTGTGCGAAGGCGTCCATTGCCCAATCCAAGAAATCCTCGATTGCTAGATCGATATAGGCAGCTTTTATTGGGTAAGCTTGCTGTGCTTTCCCTGTGCGATTCCAGTTGGCTGTGGTGCCGCCGTCGCTCATGCTTAGACTTTTCAGATAGCGAAGTACATCACACAGTACTGGACGCAACTATACGTTCGACGCGGGAACATTGGGTTTCTAAAGCAAAACTGGTATATCAAATGTCTCGCCAAAAGGAAATCATCCCATCAATGCACGTTAGTAATGTGTTCAACGTCGTTCGCGGCTGTTCTGAACAGGTATCATTTGGCTTCCCTTTTTTTGCTTGCTTTCTCTTTTTTGGCGTTAGGGCTGATGCGATGACATTCGAATAAGCTGCCATTTTAGGACCGTGATGTGCTGACGTTCTGGCAAGAGGGTCTTTCAAAAGTGTATAAGGAATCTGTGATCGCGACTATTCATCAACTTCCACATTAACTGATTATCAATCAGCTCTCACTCGTGCGACTACAAAGTCAAAGCGGGTATGACGCCGAGCGTCGTTTGATCTCTTCCCGCAACTTGAACTCTCATTCGAAGCAGCTGGCCGCGGTAGGCCCAACCTTCGGGACGCAGTGTTCCGCCGTTTCCCGGTCGGTCGTTATAACGCGACAGTTTAGCAGTAGAATGTGACCGAATCTGTGTTCCCAATTCCTAGTCTAACCACGTGCAAAATCATTTGTTGTGACAATTCTAGCCTAAGTGATAATTCTTATTCATAGATGGGTATTCAATCATTGATGTCATTGTGTTATGTTGTGCATATTTTTGTTTTAGAATTCCTCGTAGTAATGTCGGGCAATAAGATCTTGACATATCTGTATTGGACTGGTTGAAAATTTCACGAAAAAACTCAGTTCCTCTGCATTCCCATCCGTATTCTTCTGCGCTAACTAGGGGTGTTTTTCAGAACATGGAGCTATTTTTTTCAAAATGGTGTTTTGAGTACGTTCGGGGGAATCGAACCCCCGTCGAATGCTTGGAAAGGCATCAATGCTAACCATTACACTTGAAAAAAAAACTTTCGCTTCCTTTTCCTAGGAGAAAGATAGCATACTGCGCCTGAAAATGATGTAATTCTTGTCCAGCATCACCTTTTCTTCGTAAGCATCAAGTAGCAAGCAAAGAAACCAGATGAATGGTTCCCTGGCGTCGCGTTCTCCTTCACAAGACGGTGCAGACGCTATCCCAAGCACCA